TTTACTGCGTGGGAGAGGCTGGGCCAGCACCAACAGGTCAAGCGACAGCCCGCATCCAGCGCGTCAGGCGCTGCGCTTCAGTTGACGCTATGATTGTAAGACTCTGTACCCAGTCTGTGACTATCTCTGTATCGCTGTAGGAGCCGCTGCGGTGTTTTTGTCCTCTGTAAAACGAGCAAGTGGGAGAACCACCGAACGCCAGTCACCCCCCCTTTAACCCTTTTTGGCTGCGGGACGGCGCATACCTGAGCTTCCCCGTCCCGTCCCTGCCCCGTGCCACCCCCCGGCCCCTCGGTGCAGCTCCCGAGGGACCCCATTGCCCCGCGAGCAGCCCCTTCCTGCTGTGAGCATCCTCGGCTGAGCACATATCCCCATCGCTGTCTGCTGGCCATCCTCCCCCGTGGGGGCTGCCGGGGGGTCCCAGGACAGCCCTTTCCAGCCACCGCATCACCCGCTGTCCCCTTCCAGCAGCCCGAGCCACATCCCCAGCCCCGACCCCGCGTTCAGACCCAGGCCTGAGGGTTACCATGAGCAGCTGGACAGACTGACCCATGGCTTTTCCTTTACCACACACACATATCTTGGTCTGAAAAGGGTTAAAACCGGCACCGATTCAAAAACAAAACAAAACAAAACCATGTTTCTGCACTCAAAAAAAAATAATATGCTTGTTAAGTGACCCTCCGGTGTCAGGCCGCAGGTGGTGCGGGCAGCCCTGTGCTCCCTGCGGTGCGCTGGGGAGGGGAGGGAAGGTTTGATCTCAGTGTATCATTCTAGCTTAGCTTCTGTCTGTGAATGTCCATAGTGTATCGTGCGTTTTAACAACTGGTTTACACTGTTGCCGTAAAAGTGAATTTGGAAATAAAGTCATTACTACGATAAACGCCGCCTGTTTTGCGCAGGGGGAGGGAGCCGGGATGGGGCACACGAGGGGCTTCTCCAGCCGCCGTCCTCGGGCTCAGGTTGGGCTTTGGCCGCTCTGAGGGTCCGGGTCTGGGTCCAGGTCCAGCTTCTCCCCTCCACCCAGGGGGACACACTGGGATTGCCAATCCCCGGCACACTGGGGTCACCGGAGCAGCTACCGGGGAGCAGCAAAGACGGGCAGAGGCTGTTTTTCTCTTTTTTCTTCCCTTTTTAAGTACCAGCCATCAGCACCTTCCCCTGGACTGCTCTGGGCAGGTCTGAGGAGTTTCCAGCTGCTGGTGTGGCCATGGCTGCCACCGTTTGCTTTTCAGATTGGCTTTTTCCTCCCCTGTTAATTACCTGTAACGAACCCGGTGATGCCCAGGTTGCTGCCTCCGACTTCTTTGATCATCTGGCTAATAATCACCCAGCACCTTCCTGTCCCCCATCCGCTCCGGTAACGAGGAACAAAGTATAATTCTCTTATCTTGGAAATGTAAGAGCACCCGAGGAAGGCGCCTCCCATCACTCACCTCTTGCAAACATTCAACTTTCACAGCAGAACAGGGCAAACACTGCACAAACGTACCCGGGTGCAAATCAGCAGCAACAGGTTAACCCCAAAAATACAAAAAAGAGGCCTCGCCCATGCCGGGGGGGGGAAGGTTGAGCGACGCGAGGCAGCAGCTTCTCAGGAGCTCTCCCAGGGAAACGCCACCAAACCCTGGGGTCCAGCTCCATCACACATGCCAGCGCGGAGCCCAAACCCGCCATCGCACCGAACAATTCCTCTTTGCACTGACTGAGAAATGATGGTAGAAAGCAGAAAAAGAGACCATTAAACCACGGGGTGGAAGCGGCCGATCCGCCCGAGGCCAGGCTGAGGGGCCCCTTCACTGCCCAGCCCAGCGCTGCACAAACACACGTTGCGTAGAATATTCTGTTTTAATTTTTTTTTTAATCTTTTCTTCTTTTTTTTTTTTTTATAAGCACATTTGTGCTTTGCCAACAGAATCAAGACATTAACAAAGATCAGCTTCTCGGAAGAAAAGCATTTCTATATAACAAGGACATTACACAGCTCAAAGCAGGAAAAGAAAATATTTACAAAATACAAGGTGGTTTTTTTTTGTGGTTTTTATAATGCTAAAAGGGTTATTCAGAATTTTCAACCTTATAAATAGAAAAGCACTTATGCAGAGGGATATGGTAGCATTGTTGTGGTTTTTTTTTTAAAGAAACGATGACAAATCCTTTAAACTAGAACAGAACCAAAAACACTAAGTAATGTTGAAAATTGTGAAAACCCCAACCATTAAGCAGTTTAGCTACTATTTCTTTACGATTACAAAATGGAAAAAAAAAAAATGTCCTTTGTATTTTTTTTTTTCCTTTTTTTTTTGGTGATGTGATTATACATAAGACAGGCACAATGCTAGCAACAGGACAGGGACCAATAGCCACACCGTTGGGATCAGAAAGCGTTATGGATGGGAACGGTGTGCGGGATCCGGGAGTCACTGCGGGTGCGAAGGGCCGGGGGGGGGAGAGGGAGGAAGGGAGGGGAGGAACAACAGCGAACTCGGTTTTAAAATAAAAATACCTGTCCGGAGACGGCAGGTCGGACCAACGCCTGGAAAATGAAACAGAATCGACACCAGTTCCGGGACCGGCTGTGGCAGTGGAGCGAAGCAGTGGTGACAGATCCCGATCCCCCCCAGCGCCGCGGGAGCCGCCCGCTCCCTGCCCTCCTTCCCTCTCTTCTTTCCCCTTTTTCAAGACCAAACCCACCTACGGGGACCCCTCCGGCGCCTCGGCCCTGCCACGTCCTGCTCCCGC